GAAGGCAGATGCTTAACCATCTGAGCCACCCAGGCGCCCCTATAAATTAATTTTAAAAGACACACAATCTGCCTTTCTTCTTCCAGAATTTTTTTCCCCTATAAAATATAGGACAGGGAAAAATTATTTCATAGTTTGTTCTCAGTTTGGGAAGTCTATCAATTTGGGTCCATCAGTGGTAATGGTCAGACCATCAGAAGCTTTCTGAGCACCTAATTCCAGGTTAGAGACTTTTTCCAGGGTCAGCTTTCTTCTTCCTTTTGAAATGGCCTTATTCTTCCGCATCTCCTTAATCATGGACCAACCTCTCAGCTAGTTTGTTTTGGATTCAAGGGTGAGGCTTTTGTCTATGTACTTTCACTTTGATTAATCACTCTTTCTTGCATTTTCTTCTTAGACTCACTACATGCACCCAGTTAGCCCTATGCCTTTGCTCCTGCTTATCTGGGTTAAAAAAGTGTGAAGGTTCTGGTGTTCCAAGACTACCTGTCCTGGGCACAACATTTGGCAGGCTGTGGCACTGATGAGGTCTGGTGGATGGCAAGATCCTTGTTCTGGGCTCACATTCACCCTTCCCCTGCACCCTGTCCTATGGTCTGGCTGCCCTTGCAGCACTCAGAGACTACCCAACTGCCTCCTGATGGGCCATCTGTAGGCACATTTGCTTTCTGGCAAATTTCTTTGCATAAGCAGCTTTTAAAAATGATTTGTGTGATTCATCCAGGTTTCTGATTTCAAATCGCATCCTGAATATTTACTGCCCCTCTTTTGTTCACTATTTTCTACAAAACTGGAACCCTTTTATTCCCCGCGTCAATATACTCTTCCTAGCCTTTTACATAATAAAAAGCTTGAGTTTCAGCATTAATCATTTTGATTAATGGGATTCCACTAATAACCTTTTTCTACTTGGGAAGGGTCCAATTATGACTATATTTGTGTTTGGCCTTGGGCCAGTTTCTAACCCAGTGAGCCAAGTTTTCATTGGTTTCATGATTCCACAGCATGGACATTAACCTCTTCTAATCTACTTTCTCCTACATATTTCAGGCAGAGCCAGTCCTCCAGACCTTCTGTTGACCCATCCTTGGATATAACGAGGCTGGCTGCTTGGGGAGGGAAGGTCTGCTTCTCTCACATTCTCAGTATGTTCAGACACAAGCCTATTCAGTGATTCTTGATGTTTTTCCCATAGGTGTTATCAAGCCACATTTAGGCTTCATAATTCTTTGGCTTACCATTCACCCTTATAATTAATAATGGAACCCTGCCAGAAACTTAAAAAAAAAATGCTCTTCAAGGAGAATTTTCAAAGGACTCTTCAGTTTAAACTCTTCAAAAGCTCTGGATTCCTTCTCTCAGACACAGTAGAGGAAATAAAGTAGCCCCTCAGAGACATAATAGGGGAAAAGAACATGGTCTTCAAGGTCAGGATGAATTGTGAGACCTTGAGAAAATTATTTAACTTCTATGAGTCTCAATTTCCTCATTTGTGAAATGGGACTATGATTATCTTGCAGGAATAGGATGAGGATTAAATTGAATAATGTATCTAAAGAGACTTGTGGTTCCATTTCCAATAATATAATAATCTAAGTAGTCTGAAAACCTCCCTACTAGAAAATGCCTAGAAATGCTGAAGAGACTATAACAAACATCCTTTGAAATGACTAAAAAGAAAGAGGGAATTCCCAGGAGCTGAAAACAGAGGGGACTAAAGACAAGGGCTGATGGTCCAGCAGTCTTGGGAGGTGAGAGTTTATTGTTTCCGGTAAACAAAGGTTTTGGATTTTAAAGCTCACACAGAGATGGGAGATGAGGTCTTGGGCTCTTATATGGCAGGGAATTGGAACTGAGACCACTGAAAACATCTGGGACACTTGAAAGGCTATATCCTTGGAGAAATGGTTAGATATTATAGCCCATTGCAGAGATACTGAGATGGAATTTATCTGTCTCCTCTGGATTCTGAGTAGGGATCAATTTCCTCTTGAGAATTCCTAACAGTAGACCTTTATAACAGACTCCTTGCACAAGTCTGGGGTTCTAATGTACACTGCCTGCATGGTCTAGGAAGCCCCTAACCCAAAAAATGAACATACCACTTGTTCCAAGCCAGTCATACCCTTGGAATGACTACGGTTGCAAATATAAAACTACCTTAGAAACCTGGGTAGATTTTTAACTCTGCCCACTTGGTATTTCCACAGATAAAACCCCACTAGAATTTAGCTCAAAAACCAAATTATGAAATGCACAAGGAAACCACCTGCCA